GGGGGGGGGGGGGGGGGGCAATGAGTTATACTTACCAAATTAAACTCGACTCTTGGGACCTCTTTCATACGCAAGTCCGAGAAGAGACAATGTTGGTAGTGCAGTTTTGTAATATTAATGATCATTTGGGTGAAGGGTTTGAATTCAGGAGACGGCGGTTTGCGACAGGCGGAGAGTATAGCATTGGAGAAATCGGAAGGAGTTGGTAATGTGGGAACTAATTGTTGCTGCTGTTGAGACTGCTGCGTCAACTGTGGCGGACTTCCGATTGAAGACGTTGGGCGTTGGTAATTTCCGTTGCTAGCTCCGGTTGAAGACGGATCAGGGGAAGTACAACGCCGTGGCATACGACCGTACCGAACGCTGTCCTTGGACATTCCAACTTTAAGGCACTTCTTGAAGCGACAGTACTGACATCGATTCCGATTCAGACGAACCACTAAGCAATTACCGTCGCGTAGACACTTGTATTCAATTTGCTTTTGAATACTCCTTCGGAAGAAACCCTTGGGGAAAATAAAGAAAACATGTGATTATATAAGAGATTAACGAGTAAATTGGTAGTAATTGTCTGGATGTCTAAAATTTCAAACGGAGAACGGTTGACACTTTGCAATCATTGATGCCAACCGGACCTAGTGTAGATTTCTTCAATAAATGCACCTCGCTTATACTTAATTCAAAATCTGCAAGGAAGACTCTAAATTTGGATATTCGTTTTTTTCCGGAAAGGAGGGGGGGGGGGGGGGGGGGGGGGGGGAGGAGAGGGGGAGACTGAGCATGCGTTTCCGAATTTGATTTTAGCTGACAACCATTAACAATTAAACACAATGATCAATTTCATAGGAAGGTCTGATCTCAACTCTCAATTTAAAGAAATTGACTATTTTATTGGCAATGTAAAAAAACGAGAAGGCTAGTGGCCACACAAACTGTCGACTCGACAAAAGCTTTTTCATGGTGACACGTGACAGGCTAATCTGAAAGACGACAATTAAGTCCACCAGAAGAGAGTGCGCAACTGGTGTTGACAAGTGGATGATCTGAGGAAAAAGAAATTATGTAAAAAAGGAAAGCATTAGTTCAGCTGAGGGACAAAACTGGAGTAATGGCATTTATTATCCGAAAGTCTAAATCCTTTTGTCCATTAAGATCTAGTAATGATTACATTCTCGAACCACATTAATAGATATTTTACAAAATCGATTTACTGCACAGACCAATTAATATAAGTCTATTGAGTTATAATCATCATTATATATGGTTAAATACTTTCAGCAGCTGATTAGGGATTATATGATGTGAATTTGAAGCGCTCGACCAAGCAATTTCAATCAGCCATAATATTTTGGTATAGTTGTCCATTATTAAATCATTAAACATTACAATCTGATTTTAGTAAACTGCTAAATTATTTAAAACAATGAAATCAAGCTATAAAAAAGTGCAATAGAAAAGAATCGATATTTGAGTTAATAGCAGTGTACCATCGCAAATGCAAAACAGCCTTTACTAGCAATCAATTATTAAAGAAGTGATCAAAATAAATGAGGATAAAAATTGGACGTATCTATTAAATAAATAAATAAAAAAGTATAGCTTAGAATTCCAACATAAAAAACAAAGACGCAAATACAGTCAAATGTGGGAAGCTTAACCTATAGTTACGTGTCAGTATATTTAAGAGGGACTTACTTTACATCCTTCACAGGATATAACACCATAATGGTAGCCACTAGCCTTGTCACCACAGACCATACAAGGTGTAAACTGGGATCTAATTGAGCTAGTCGAAGGAGAACCTTCAGGGAAATGGGATTGTGAAGTAGAACCATTGCTTCCGGACCGTGAATATGAAAATCCGGGTTGATGTCTTTGTTCTAAAGAAGTATTCGAAGTTGAGAAAGATGACCGAGAAGAAATCGATGCAGTTTGTGGTGATATGTCGGTAGATTGGTGAGAACTAGCGACACCATTTGGAATCGGAGATATTCCATTGAATGATTGCACGTTAAGGCTGGGAGTGGAGGTTAGGAATGCACTTTGATGCATATATGGGGATTGTTGGACAGCTCCGCCGCTACTAGAGTAATTAGGGGAATAGACATCACTAGACTGCGGATGAAGAATCGATTGATCTTGATTAATACAACCACCTGCAGATGTTTGGTCTTGAAAATTATGAAAATATGGCCGGTCCATTGAATTCTATAAAATATTCAATTCAGTTTAGGTAAACTAGCTTAAAAATAGTATAAAGTAATAGCAGTAAGAATGATGCATAGTAGGCAAGTAGAAAAAGAAGATATCGATTAAAAATAATAACATTTCAAAAGAACAAGTAATTTAATAGGAATAAACAATAAGCTCTTTAGAGTAATTAATTTCACGAACCAAGTTTCTGCACAGAAAATTATATAACGCGCGATTTGCGCCGCGGTTCAAGGTCAATATTCTTCAATTATCGAACTTATCCAATTAAACGCCAAATTTTTCTCACGTGCGTCAAAAAGTATTTCAGAAATAAATATTTTAAAAACATTATAATGTAAATTAACTCTTACTGATTTTTTCGTATGAATTTGTTCAAAAGTAAAGGTCTTATACACTTATATAATTATAAATAATTCTTTAAAAGCGATACAACCCATGATTGCCTTCTTTACTAAATTAAATGAGTTTTGTCAGTATATAAATTCTTTAAAAATAATTTGCTTTCTTATTATTTTTCCGATACTATTGAAAATTGAAATTCAAACTCTTCTTAAATACAATACAATTCAATTAATCTCAGTATAATGTACGATGACGTAGAGGTTAGTCAACGATCTTTTTCGTGTTTTTAAAGTAAACGAAAAGTTGTCTGATTATATATGATGTACGATTTGCTTTCTAATGAACACGAAACCGAGATCGGTCAACAGCCCCATTTCGCCTGTCCTTCACAATTCAGGTAGCCCTTCCTTAGTACTGGTACCTTCATCTTTACCTAAACTATCTTATTTTACTTATTTTCTTCTCACATATTCATTAGCAACCGTTCAGCACAAATTTTGGTCTTCTCATCCGAAAGCGATTATTTTTGCTCATTCACATTGGATGGCTGTCTGTTCATCTCCCCTAAATTGGCCTCATTCTGAACGCGACGTTTCTAGGAGTTAATAATTGCTTTAAGCCAATCGTCATGTTCAGTAATTGAATTGACGATTTCTACAGAGAAATAGAACTCTAAAGAATACAATTTTAATGAAACTCAAGATCCTCTACAAACTCCAATGTCAGCCTTTTTTTTGGATATATCAAAACGATTTGTTAGAACACGGCAACGTTTAAGACGCCTTCTGCAGATTATTGCACCAGCTCTTTTATTTGTTAAAAAATATATAGGAACTCGGTCACGGGAACCCAGTTATAGTACAAAGCACTGGGAACAGTAACGCAAGGAATTATTGGATCGAATAGACAATCACTTCAACAGTCACGTTCGGTCGCAAACAATCAGCAATCAACTACAAATGGGCGACGGAACTGAGTACTTCAAATGCTGTAAAAAACCCTTAAAATCATGGTTAAGTAAAATTTCACATGATTAGTGGCCAAATAAACCTATGATTTAAAAAATTCCAACTTTTGTACTCTTTATAGTGGCAGGTCCTGGAATGAATAAGAGGGATATATTCTATTGGATATCGAGGTTTCTAAAGTTTGATTACAAAATGACCTCGTGACCTGCGCACGATTGTCTTTCATATCTCTGGTTAAATTTGGTCAATGTGTTCATCGCAGTAATTGCGCCTAGCAGACTATTTTTCTATTTAGTCTGAACTATATATTACAAAGGGTAATTATTCGAGGAGAATAAAACGGTAACGTGGTAGGAAGGATCTTGGAGGCACGAATTCTCATAAAAGTATATTATTATAAACGGGGTGTGCGATAGACTTATCTCCACGTGGTACACCCTGGGCAACGTATACTCATGCGGCAAAAAAATTATTTACCGGCAGTTGACTTCTGACTTCTAACTACCATCACTCCACTGTATGCCATATTCGACCACTTCCATAGTACTCACCTCACCTTTCATCTACCTTTGTGTCTGTCTCTTTTACATCTTTATAATACTCCTCTGTCCCCCTCCCCCTCTCGATTTTTTTCGATTTGATGTTCCTCTCCCTCGGTGAAGCCTGAAGTCAACAAAAGGGCTAATGATAACCATAATAAAGCCTGCCATTTGATATAACTAAATATTATTATAAACGCAGAATATTGCAGAATGGAAGCCGTATCAGTCATATAATCAATAGTCCCAGATTCCACCTGCAGTGAAGCTGTTGATACGCTTTTAAGTTTTATCAGAAATCATGATCTAATTTGACTGAGTATAATGGCTAACAATTAATTTCTTCTTATTCTTGTCGACAGTCACTTCATGCCATTGATATTTCGGTGTGGTGATTGATTGCTGTTAGGGTACCTGTGTGCCAACATGCACGGCTGTAGATACTGTAGCCAAGATCTTATCTTCAGTCAATTATTCATAATCGCTAGATGTTGATTAACATCTGTTGTCTACAGAACGCGAGAATTCCACTTTCTACCTGTGAGACATCGTCAATCCGAGGTGAGAGTTGGCAAAAACTTGCTGAAATGGCATAGTTGTTGTCATGATGACTAACTAAGAAACTGCAATATATTTAAGCTTAAATGGTAAGTACTAAATGAGAAGGTGGCTCATTTTAAAAAGAGGAATACATGGCAGACTTCACTTTTTAAATTTGATTCCACCAGATGTAAAGACAAAGGAGCAAAAAATCACGCAACTAAAATAGTGCAAGGGAAAGTGCAAACAAGAAACGTGTTAAACATTAATAGCACCTTTTTTCTCTTAAAATCAAGCTTTTAATTAGGTCACCTCATGTCACTTCGTGTCTTTTCATTTCCACTTACTTGCAATTAAGGGAACCGATACGATATTTTGAAGACATCATGTAAGAAAGTGAGTGATATTTTGCATTCTGAAAAATATCCGACTAAATCCCTGGAGATAGGAAGGGGAATCTATTCTTTGTACATTGAGTACTCCGTCAAATAACCATTAATGAATTGTTAACCATTTATTAGTAATAACGCTATCCGGTACAATGCACAAAACTCGCTTTTTTATCATGAAAACTACTAATCATGACGCTAAAATAAACTATGGCAGATGTGAGGATTAACTCGAAGAGTTATGAACCTCATTGTATGAAGTCTCACGAATATTCTAAATGTAAAAAGGTTGAATCTCCTTTGCCTTCATTAAATCAAAACTCTGGATACCACAATTTAACTGCTTTCTCAACCGATCTCTATTCACGTAGATCTTCCTACTATCGGTTTGTTAAGAGCTAATCCGTGAATATTGCAGATAAATTTTAAAACGTCATCTAGATATGTTCAGTGACATCGGGAATATTGTTATTCAAGTATGCGGGGGGAGGGGAGGGGAGGGGGGGATATTTCCAAAGATAAATTTATTTTCTTTAGATTCACCACTGAAATCTCACCTTCCCTTCCACCTAAAAAACCTTTCCTATATCCGACTTGAACTATTGCGCCAACTCTTCGCACATGGAAGTATTTGAGATTTAATTACTATTATTAATACCGAAGACGGTTTCTTTACTTTCATATAAAACTTTACCATCATGATTAGCAGTTTGGTTAATACCTTCCCATTAAGTTGGTATGGTCTAAATTGATTATAATTAACTGACTAATTACTGGTTGCTCAGAGCTGTCTCCTCCTCCACCCCCTCCCCCATATACTGTTGAAACCTATTTAATTAATAATGGGTATTACTAATGGTGCTATATTTACGTTCCGATGCAATGTGAATACTTGATTTGGCTTTAAAATGAAACCGATATGTACGACCATCTCGAATAAACATTTACTAACTTCGAAAGTCCGTCGATCAGGTAAATGAAGATATATGGGCATTGTGGGGTCAAGATATCACAATCTCTGACCCATATAAATAAACACCTGACAGTGGTCTCTGGACTCGAGAAATTGTTAACTGTTCTATCGCTTCTCGCATAATTTTATCAAAAAAATTTTTTTCGGATGCACTCATGCTTTCCATGGCAGGTTACATTATTATTATTATTATTATTATTATTATTAGAGTTCCAGTTATTTGTAGCCGTCACTTTTTGTTAACCAGTTATAAAAGAATGATTAGAATGTAATCAAAGAAAAAATAGAACATAAATTAGTAATTCTTTATAAAATCTTCTATAAATAAGGTTTGCTAAAGTTTTAAATATTTAAATCTGGTAGTGTAAAAGGAATAATTCCTAAATAGATGAGTTGGATACGCAAGAAGATGGTGAGTGTGGGACGCAAACAAGCTCTAACCTCGTTAATAAAATCAATTTCAGTGCCAAATTGAGTCAGACTTAATATCTCCTCATGGAATGAGCTACAGGACACAATAGACCATCTTGAGTGAGAAGACCAGGAAATGGGCAGAATCGAATGTTAATTGAGCATCTAGAAGTAAGTTGGAGGAGAAAGGTGGAAGAAGTGGGTTAATTATTTTGGAGGGAAGGCATCGGGACTGAAAGCGAGGAACTCGTAAAGAGTTATGGCATGACGGTTGACATATGGGGCAGTAAGTGGAACAACAATTGATCCCGAGAATGACTGGGTCAAAGTGCATGAATCTTATTAAAATCTAGGGGCCTTCTTAAAGTTAACAAGTTGGCTACGCCAACTTCGAAATAGCAGATGATTAAAAGTTGAGTAAAGATTAAATATTTGTTATACATCAGCTCAATAAAAAATGTAAGCAAAGGAAAGAAAGGTGAAGGGTGGAAGGAACTTCAGGTAATTTCATTATTTGACTAGTAAAATACGATGCGTACCAATGTCATATCACTACTAACACCGTACAATTGACTTTATCGCGGAATTTGTTGAAATCAATAAATTCAGATCCATGCCTACCTCTAAAGGGAAGTGAGCTGGCCTGTGAAACGTGGGCTCACCCAAATGAAGACAAGTACTAATCTTTACCGTCAAGAACTAGTATTTGTGACCCCCAACCAATTACCCTCAAAGTTGAGATTCAACTGAGCGAAATGGCCCCCAAATGAAGATCTAACTGAAATAGCGGTGCGTGGAAAATGGTAATAAGTAGTACCTTAATCGAGGTTTGTGATATTAATATCTGTTTTATTGAAGGCTACACCTTCATAATCCATATCGATTTCTTGATACGGATACGTATGCTGAAAGGTTAAGTACTATAACAATTGATTTTCCGCCAAATATTCCAGTGACAAAAATTCGTGCAGTTTCTGGACCAGAATTATGCCAAATGGGCAATCTAATATTAATACCTACTCTATTCCATCTTCACCACACCTCTTATTGACCCATTTTGAGCGCTCAGATGCTCACCCACGTTTTCTTATGATTTCCGCAGATATTAACAATTGAAAAGAGATCAAGCCGGTTTCTGTAAAGAAGTGGTGATTTACCGCGGTTTATTCTAATCCTGTTTTTGCAAAGAAACATCTGGCAATAAGATTGAAAACCTGAGTTGAATGTTTCCCCGATCATATTTCTTCGCACTTAGACAATAACATGAGTGCATTAACTAGTTCAATCTTGTTGTTCCGTCTATACTTCTCCTGAGAAAAGGTACTAATCAAATGCATTTAACTGGGTTTTAAATTTTACCCCCTTCCACGGGCACATTAATTTATTGTACTGGCTTTTAAGCGCACTTCGCTGTAATTTAATCAAAGTGTAAGAACTTATATGAGTTAATTGCTCTAATGCAATTCGTTGACCTCGTAAAAGGACACTTTTTTCTGTTTATCCTCAAATTAAATTAAATTGAATATCCTTCATGAATTTAAAGGTTGCTTCCCCATTCTCCTTTAAAATATGGAAGATGGTGGGAGTTGGGAGATGCCATAAAAGTACATTTATTCCGTCATTTCGCAACTCCTTTGTTCTTCTAAAAATGTACTTTTAAATTTTCTATCTGCAGGCATTGATTATGGTTTACACAGCAGCAACTCTGGCTTCCCACAGCAACGAGGTTCATGTAATTCTCCTTCTGTTTACGGTTGGAAGTGTCAAATTTTCAGAATTCCCACTACTGTTAGTTATACCTACTCTACCTGACTGTAAGGGTAGAAGACTATACTAAAATCATGTGTACAGACATTGTGGTACCATTTTTGAAACTGGAAGGAATTTATTTATCAAGATCCAATGACAGACTTTATGATAGTTATCATTAGTTCTTTAGTTGACTTTTGATTTCACAGAGGGGTGAGCGATAGACTTACTTCCACGTTGTACACCATGGGCAACGTTTACTCATATTGGTAAAAAAGTCTAAAAACCGGCAGTTGACTTCTAACTATAAACTCTCATGACCCATTGTATGTCATATTCGACCACTTTCACAGCGCTCATCTTACCTTTTCTCTACCATTGTGTCAGTCTCTTTTGCATCTGTACATTACTCTTCTGTCCACCCCCCCCCCTCCCAATCTCGACTTGTGTGACTTTGATCTGGAAGATAAAAATGCATCGAAGTGTCCACCCAACAAGAATAGAACGAGACCTTTCTTAGTAATCAATGAGCCCAGCCATGAAATTTATATTTCGGAGCTTGAAGCTCATTTGATACCTCGTCTTTACTCACGTCATTCGTTCAAGCCCCCCCCCCATCCATCCCTCTATCCTTCATTCAACTTTGTCGTTTCCTATTTCAGTAAATTTCTCAGACCCCTATGCTGAGCCATATCTCGAAAAAAACAATGCGCAATGTCTTTTATTTCTTCATTTGTGCATCTTGAGCACCCCAAAATACCAGCCTATGAAAGCATTTTAAGCTCATTCAGATTTTGGTTCAAAGGGATTTTCTGCCCTGGTCTTCAAGGAAGAGGTTTAAGTCAGTTTACGCTGAGGAAATGCACGCAAAAATTTTAATCGGGGTGGCCAAAATCAACCCCACTCCGCGGTACAATACAATAATTTCACGATGAATCAATTTTAGATTTCGTTGGTTAAAACGAATTGTCCATGCTTATGTGTAAATCCTTTAATGCATTTTATTAGTGCAAATGATTATTGATTTTTTTCTTCTTATGCAAATTTTCAAACTCCGAGGCGAACACAGGAAATCAGGGAAATGATTTACACTTGCTTTGATAAATCATTTAATCCTCTGAAACAAACAAGTGAAAGATATTTTAATCTAACCGTAACTCATTTCATGACCTCAAGACTTATGATAAACCGTTTATGTAGAAACAATAGCAACATCGGTCGAATCGCCACAAAATGTGCTGTTCGCGATTTCATCAACTATTTTAAATTTGATCTTTCAGAAGAATTTATAACTATAAGGAAAGAGAAATGGCATTATAAATGTTCCCACTCGAAGGTTCCATGAGCATTTGCAAATAGGTTGTTAAACGTAATCAAAGAGCAATGACCACATATTCACTCTGAGAAGTTAAGAGTCTAGTTTGCATTTCCAGACTTTATCATTTCCAAAATTCCGCATTACTAGTAAATTCAAAATCCAAGTGATAGTACGTTTGACAACTATTCCGCAATTCCACAACATTTGAATTTAAACTATGAATCTGGGGCTTTGAGAAGTTAGTGTAATTTAAAGCTGTATGAACAGTTATAAGCATAACACTAAAATGACTCCAGGCCAGTTGGCATGGATCCTTCTCATTAGAGCAATTATTTATTAGTTGAATGATTTCAAAGGCTTCATCAAAATATTTAGATAGTTATTGCCGGTTTACCTCACAATATGCACGAATTATCAATAAAACGATTCATATTTTTGTGACACCATAATTAGCCAACACTAATCGAACTCTAACAGAGATTGCGCCACATTACATAGAAAACTTTAATTTTGCACACGTTCAAAGGGTTTAGCTCAGCTGTTCCTTCCTTTAGTGTTAACGGTCAAAGAGGATATGTATGAAGTGTAACAATAGAGCAATTACATACCTTTTCTAAATTATAAGCTGAGAAAGTACAAAGATAATTAGTTTTAAATTGATAACTGTTTGTTGTTGACGCATGTAGATAGCTTAATTCCTCTAATACTTCACAAATGTATTCAGACTTTTAAACAGAAAATAAAATAGAAATGATAAGGGACCATAAAGACAAGTGCATTCTAGATATTGTAGAAAACATCAGTAGGAAAACATGATAAAGACAGCGTTTTTTCATCCTTTATTGATTAAAGAATGCAGATGTTGAGGAAAATCGATGAAACTCAACGGGTTAAACTTATTGAGTAAGATTTGTTTGGCACTGTGAAACTGTTTAAATTGATGAATCAATCGAAATTCAAACATGAGACGCTCCTTGATGTATTCACTAATTATATGTATAGTGAGTAAAGTCATGGAATTGTATTTTAAATAAATTATTTTTGATTAAAATTGGTATATTATAATGAGTCATGATCATTAACAATATTTTGTAAACGCATTTTTAACAATGGCATTGGTCAATTTAATCGGGAAAACGGAAGCATACTTGCTACTTGCTCAGACAAAAGTAGAATAAATGTTTGTAAATTGCTAGAGGTTGAAATTTGTTTGATCGAAAGCTTACAAATATTGAGAAAATATGACGATCGTTTAAGCTCTGAAGAAGTTTAGATTTTCAGCCCAAAATATATATATACCCAGGTAGGAAATAAATATTTTATTTTATGATGAAATTTCGAATTCCTATTTTCTGATTCTGAAAAATTAAAAATTTGGAAAAGAAATCAAGGTTAAATAAAATTATTTAACTTTGATAAAATCATTAACTTATATCAAAATCTTATCTAATTTCCTGATTACTCATTAGTTTATATCGTTTATTTTACTTATTTCGCTCAATTGACCTTCATGTGCTGGCACTTACTTGGGTAAAATGGCGAGTAATACGTGTTTTTTGCTTGTGCTTCTCTTCACTTTTGTGGCTATTGCGGAAAATGTTGATTTAAATGATCACGCAAGATTGGTTGTGACCAAGGAAGTGTTGAATCGGTATATCGTTGAGGCCAAAGAGGTGACAATTCTTTACACCATCTACAACCTTAGCCCTAAGTAAGCACTTAATTCCCTTTGTCTCACACATATTAGGAAAACAGCTAGGGACGTGGAGATCCACGATCGTCTTCCTGAATCCGATTTCACAATTTTGCATGGCAGTCGTTCATCACGTTGGGCCTCTGTTCCTCCCATGACTAATATAACCCACTCAGTTATTGTTATTCCTAAAGGTACCGGTAGCTACAACTTCACCAGTGCTGAGGTTACCTACAAAGCTGGTTCTGATGCTAGTGTGACGGTAAATGTCAATTAGCTGTTAACATTGCAACTTATTTCGCTTCTTAATATTACCCATATTGTTTACAGTATGGTTACTCATCTGCTCCTGGTATGCGACAGATCCTTGTTCCATCTGTGTATAACCGTCAATTTTCTTCTCATTGGGTGAGTTTTTATGATATATCTTGAGGTTGTTGGCGTTATTTTTTTGGACTTATTTCATTTTTCTCTTTCTAGATTGAATGGATTGTGTTCGGGCTAATAATGGTGCCTTGTCTAGGTTTGCCTTATATGCTTTGGCGTAATACTGCTTCAAAGTACACTAATAATCTGTAAATTTCTTGTGAAATCAGTATTATGTGCTTGATTTGTTTTGAATATTTTGATGTATTTAGAATATTAAAGGACATTTTTTCCAGCTTTCGGTCTATTTTATTCCACGAATGCACAAGTTTATTGCTGTTTATTGGAACCCATTTACAAAATACGCCATCTCATTTGACTTATTTATTAGAGCCTATGGATTTCAAGTCCTTTGCTGGCACGAGTCACTAATCTACTTATACAAGCGGGCACTTAGTAAACTGTATTAGAAAGAATGTTACTCAGAATCGGCTAGTTCGCTCTACTTTTAGTACTCGTGAGTGAAGTGTTTACGTTCACACATTTCGACTATGCTAGTTCTTATTGGAATGTGTATGGACACTCATTTGGAGTAGGATTTGCTGTTTGCTATTTTTAATAAGAAACAGTGGTTAATCGTTATATGAATTGGTGATTATAGATTATGTGGATGCAATTCCCGATTGTAGAGAAATTAGTCTCATATGCCCATATTGGATTGAGAAATGAGATCCTGGAACCTAATAATTATTGAATATGTGTGGATGAATTTCGGAATATTTTCATGAATGCAATGTAGTTTTTTTACAACCGTTGCACTGGACAGAAATTTTATCCTATGTTGATAAGTTGGATTAATAAAGACAACGAAAAGTACTTTTCTTTCCCCCAAAATAGGCGTTTGAGGATGATGTGCCTATCGTGTTAAATAGAAGGCAAGTACTGAGCTTGCATGAAATCATGCCTTAAATGAGTCGTCAGATTAGTCATCGCATCGACCGAACCGTCATAGAAAAAATAAATAATTAAGTCAGTCTCGAAAGAAAACGGTTCAACTTTAAACTACAAACTGCATGCAAATGCTCGCGGAATGGAAAGTAACGGAATCATTATCCCCTAGCTTCAACAATCGAAGAGCTTCACCACCTTTCGAAGGAAGCAAAATTAATTCATCTGCTACGGTAAGTAGAAAACAAGAAAACTATGGACCAAATTCACAGACTCTCCCTCAACATTTCTACGATAGGTGTTGGGCAAATATCCCCTCATTTACCCACTTATATCAGTCAATTTATCCCACATCTTTTCAATTATCTCTTTAAAAACTCACCATATTTCTACTAAGACGGTTGTTAGTAATTAGCAAAGAATTCGAAGTAAAACATCATACATCAATAGAATTCGTGTTTTAGCATGATAGAATGGCGTTTAATGGAAGAAAACAATTTGTACACAATATGATGCTAAAATCGGCAGACAACGTTATTCATCGAACACAGCGCTTCTTCGGTTTTACGGTCGTCCACCCACCATCATCCTCGTCTTCCGTATCCTGATCTCCGTAAATTTTTTCCTCAAAATATTTCTGCAGTGCTTCCTCAGATTCCTTTTTTAGGGCTTCTGCGTTCTTTAACCATGTCTTTCTACTATCAGCAACTATTTCTGAATGTTCAAAATATGAGAGTTCGATTATTAGGCAACAACGAACAAGAATGCAGTGCTCTACAAACTTACGACTAAAGGAAGCCTTCTGAATGGGGAGAGAATATGCAACAGTCATGGGAGTAGAAGTGAGGGCATCAATCGACGCTTCTTTACGATACTCAATGTGAGCAAAGCAATCAGCCTAAAAACGTAGAAAATAGTGAATGACTAGTTGGAAGTAATGAAAGCGAGCATACTTTATTGTAAGAAAACTTTATAATTGGTCCAAAGGTGATAAAGAAAGCATATAACGAAGCTCTGTTGTAGAAAGGAGGAATGTTAAGAACTTGAACTGTAGTCGGAGATAAAGTTAAAACGTATAGGGGATGGCCAGAACCAGCACCAGTAGAAATAGTAACAACTAATAAAATGAAGAAAATGCTTAATCAAAGAAAGAATACCAATGATTTTGTTAAATTACAATCAAAAGGAATTACCTGAGTAATCACCGACCCTTATTGAAAACTCAGACATTGTGATAAACCTAAAGTGTAAATAAAAATCAAAACAAAGCACTCAACTGGCTAAGGCAAGCGATAATGAATTAATAAAATGTAGAGCGAGAATAACTGACAAAATAAACGATTAAATAACATCAATTTAGGGAAGCCCATCATTCAAAGGAGACAGAAAATCGTAGAAATATGATTTGGAAGCCACTTAACAAAATATAAAAGGCATAAAAGTTTTAAAATTTCGCTTTCTTTGAAATGCTGAAGATCTACTTTAATAGATTAGCGTACAAATCAGCTGCGAAACATACCAATAAACGTGACTGTTAGCGAAATGGGCACAAACCTAGCCTTTAACATGACCTTGAAATAATTATTTTCAATATAATTTAAACACATAGATCCCCAATTTGTAAGTGCTCTGTTATTACTTTGTGATTAATTTTAATAATCTAATGAGCTTTGATTTTTTAAGAAATCGAAAGGTACAATATATTGTTATTTAGCATACATTTGTGATTTATTTTGGATTGCTCCAAATTTTCCCACCCGAACTGCTGCCAACGTTTAACCATTGTTAAATATTTCAATGTAAAAATATTCCGCGAAAATAGGAAATAAAACACAAGTATCATCAAGCGTTTTAACGTAATCTAATCATAGGTTTACATATTTTAAAATTTGAAATCTGACTGATTAATTTTTTGTGTTCCTTTCAGAACTTTTGGCAACATTTTAGAGCCATTAGATTCACTAAAGTTCTTTTGCTGGTTATAATATATTTACGTTTTAATGATACGCTTGAAATCTTCAGTCATTTGCATGATATAGGGCTATCGGGGAAAATTTAAGATCAAATTAAATAAAATTTCCACCCACTAGGAACTCATCTGTCTAAAATTAATAGACGAAAGAAAATGTAGTCTGACGAGGCCCCAGAGAGGTCTTATATATTTTGTTTGTCGTTTACAGTTTAACAGAATTTGGACGCTAGTTTACTCTATTTTCGTGCCGAGTTCTCACATAAGGATTGATATGCTAGTGATAATGTGCAAATACCGATTTAGTTCATCACGGCATCTTTATAACCCAGCCAGTCATATGGCGGCCCCTCTCAGTTAAGCTAGTAGGGGGTTGGTTGCCAATCTGTTACCAATTTTCAAAGTGATTTTCTTGAACGATTTTTAGTCATTCATACGAAACTGAGTAAACAGCGTACATAGAACTATTGATTGAAAAATAATCTTAAATATTGAACAAAAAGGAAAATGGAGTGAACAGGCGAAGTTCTGATGGAAATGATGAAACACTAGACGAATAAAAATGATAGTTGGTGTACATAACCGTGGTTATTTACAGAAGACCAACATACAATTAAAGTTATTTTAAGCACATTTAGTTGTTTGATAGGAACACATTACCGCTTAGTTCATTTGCATTAATGAGTCAGACGTGCTCTCAAGTGAAGAAGAAATGTATATATGATTCACAGAATAGCAACTCGGCATAATTATTGTAAATCTTGATGCTGGGAGATCTCTGTACAGCTATTAGTCAACTATGAATTGAATCTACTCGCCAACACTATTCTCTCAATCCTAAAGTTTCTCCAATGAAAATGAATGAGATGAATGAAAAATTGTCCATCCGAATAGCCAATAACTGAAGAGTTACTTTCTTTTGTTAGCCACGTGGGTTGATAATTCTAATGTCCAATGTGAAATTCTCAGATTGTTCAATAATTGATTTAGTGGTGATCATAAATGCCCAGATGTGAGTGTAGAGGTTCCCCACTTTAAACTTCAGTAACCGAGAGACGAGGCTCATGAGATTCGCCCTGGCGCATTGACACTGTTTCATTCGGTTTTCTGCTAGTAACAAAGACGTCAATTCTTGACAGATGGCAGGAAATCTGAGGTACTTGGCCATGGATTATTTCCAAATCAAATTGTATATAAACATCAGAATTTGAAATATTTAGCTACGTATTTACCCTTAAAGATTGCTACAGAGGGTAAAGAAAAAAAACAAACAAATTTATTCTCAATTAATTATTTTTTTGCATTGCAACGGAAGCTCAACCCAAATCTAAACATTCTCCTCTGCCCCCCCCCCCCCCCCCCCCCCCCCCCCCCACCCCCCGCTCCCTAGAATTAGATCGTGTGTGGAATGAATAGGGTTTAACGCAGTTTATGGGCCACTGACACAAAGCCTGATCATTTAAATATAATTCAGACTTCGCAAACAATGCAGCGGCAAAGTGATTGGTGGTTGAGTTGAGAGGCTATATTTCACTCTCGACTTCACTTTCACCATAGGTGATTAGCAGAATGTCTACACCTCCCAGATTGGTCGCACACACACGACACTTCATCGTACGGCCTCAGTAGCGCCGCTGCACCCTCTACAGCATCCAAATTTTACTTAATTATAATTTGCTAGTACTCATAAAAGTAGCAACAGTATATCTAATACTCTTAATTAAGTGGCAAACAGTATTATATTTAGTAAGTCAACAAGTGGGGAACTTCCTAATTCTATCGGGATAATTGTTTTGCGCTCGCTTAAAAGGTGCATTTTAGTTGAAATTATTATATTGTATAAACAAATGACTGGAGTATATAAATTGATTTCTAAATATTTCCTTAACAACATGTGATATTATGGTGCTTTTGAAGCAACTTCCAAATGAAAAAATGTTTTAGTGAACGAAGTGGGAGGGGTGGGGGGGGGGGGGNNNGAGGGGAAGGTGGGAGGGGCGGTTTGATTTTCTGGACAGGAAATATCTTCTATAACTTAAGGCGCCATCAGAAACGCACGCACGCACGCACACACATACATGTATGGGCGATCGCGTTTCTAGAGCTGTGACGAATCATGTTTCCAAATGTTACGTGGGTGAGTTGTGAAGCCGTTGCTAGCTCACGATGGTTTTGCATAAGCGTTCAATCTCATTATAGATTCAGTCAATGGTCAGATGGGCACAATGACCAATACGGGCCTGTGGCCGTGCACATATAGAGTGGAAGATAACCTCTATCATAATCACCGCATTTAACTCAGAACTATGCAGTTGTTAGTCGGGTGTCAGTCCTTGACGTCTCTTTACCTTCTATTTCTTTCCTTTACTGTATCGCTTTCTCACTGCCTACCTATCCACTTGCCTCCCGATACGACTAAAGTGCTTTCCTCAACTGAAAGCTCTGCTCCGTTTGCCACTTTTCTGACTACTCCAATGGTGACATTAAATGGTGCAGAAATCCCAATGAAAGTTGTGCCCTTAGAAGAAATAGAGTCGAGGTACTTTTCCTACTTAACCGTTGAAGGCACTCCAACCACACTAGAAGACAAGACGACTACTTCGGCACATTGGGTTGATGATATGTTGCTAGAAGAGAAGACGACAGTTTCAACAGAAGGCATACTGCCGGAAGAGGTAAAATCGACAACTGAATTGACATCCGCTATGATGAAAATGTCCGAAACTTCTTCCATTGAAACTCTTAAACCGCAAGAATTAACTACCGAGCAAGCAAAGGCGGAAGAAATAATGATTTCTAATGACAGCACCTCGGGAGATGGTTTGAAATCAGTTAGCACAGCATCCACGTCTCCAACGTCTATAACAAATATATTGATAACTTCAACTCCTGAAGTCTTTAAATCTAAAGATTTAATTACTACTGCAATTCCAAATCCATTAACCGATTATCCTCACAAGGAGAATACGGTATTACAAACAATTGAACCGTCGGATTTGTGGAGGGCAACACCGACAATACCTGGAACAGAACAAATTGACGAATTAAAGGAACCCATTATATCCATATCAAATTCACCATCCATGCAAGAATCAGAAATGATTACAAGTGAGGATGAAGTGACTACAACAACTAATTTAGTTATAGAGACGTCATCATTGCCACTTTCAATATCTAATTCAGCACCTGTCAAAGAAGCGACATTATTGAGCACTTTTGCTTCAGAAACGGAAATGCTTGGTTCTGCAGTCTATTCAGACCTTCCTAAAACTTCGACTTTTTCAAAAACACTGGCATCGATTGTTCCTACTCAAATAACAATGCCAAATACAATGATGACAACTGAAATCATTGAACCCGCATCAAAAATCCTAGAACAAGTGACGACTACCAAAACTGAAGAAGTAACTTTACAGGAAATGAACACAATTCCAATCGCCACTGCGACACTGTCAGAAACAAAGAAAGTTCTAGAAGAAACTTCGATTTCAAGTCATAATCAGGAGATTTCTAAGGTTGGACTAATTTTAAGCACGAGAGAGACATTACCTATAACAGCTGTGGAACCCCAAATGACAACAACAGCTCAACCTTTAAAATCAATACAGCCCTTAGCACAGACAACCCAGAATTTTCACTCGACATCTATTGGGATTAGATACTCAGAAATATCTGAAAAGACCTCGTCTGCGGTTGGTGTAATACCTATTCAGACTGCTGAAAGTGTTTCGCCGACAATCTCAATTTCTACAAATAACGATGCATTTGCCTCAGCTACTACTTCTTCAATTTTGTTCCCAACGGAAGATCCGACTGCTTCTGGAATTAAAAATAGCGAGATGGCAATAACATCAGGTGAAAGGGAATTGGCATCTCAATTTGAAGAGCCCGGTACTTCTATAATTACTACACGATCTCTCCCGACGACACAGGTGACTCAGAGTACAGCTCCTAGTGAACAAATATGGACAACGCTGGTAAATTCTTCTGAATCGATTCAAGATAATGCTTCGACAATAGTAAAAACCGATTCATCGAAATTTGAGATGACTAGTACTGAAATAAGTATACCAGTTGGAGTGCAGGCAACTATGAGTTCTCCTTCCGAATCCACTGCAACAATAACTACTAGTATTGCTGGTAGTGCTGGTTCCAACACTGAAATGTCCATTGTAGCGGAAGTAACAAGTGGAGCTGAGACAAAGATATCATATCCAACATCAACTAAAACGACTGCTTCAGCTGTTCCTGAAATTATACTCACATCACCAGCGGTTGCCGTAGGAAGCACAACGGAAATACCTCCACATACTCCAAGCTCAGTTACACAAATGCCAACAGAATTGAAGGACCATGCAACTACTGTTCATTCAATTCAGGAGGAAAATCCAAGTCCTTTAATCACGGACGTTAATGAAAAGACACTGTTTTCAACTTTTTCACAATCGACCACCTCTAGATCCCTAGTTCCAGATGAAGTTGAAAGTAAAAAAACTCAAACGGCAATAACTTCTACCATTTCTAGGTTATTTTCAACCATGCAACCGATAACCACTGCTCCCAGTTCAAGCTATTCAATAACTGAAAAACCCACAAGTCCTGAAAGCTCAGACGTTTCTGATGTGAAAACATTACAGTCACTCCAACTGAGTTATTCAACTACGATCGCAGCTTCTGCCACCAAAGAAGTATCTATAAGCACAGCCGTAACTGATACAGCACTTCCAACCACTGCTATTTCTCCTAAGGATACCGTTTCAGCTCATCCTATGGTGTGGACGGAAACTGAGGTACAAAGCACATTACCAGCCGAAAAATCGGATATCCCTACCCCTCAAATGACAAAAGCAACTCAAATTAGCACTTCAACATCTAAACCGACTATAGTCGAGGACCTTGGAACACAACCTCCAATTCTTCCCGATTCAACTAAGAATGTAGAAATAGCAACACAAATGGGACATTTTTTAAGCTCACTTCCCCAAGAGAAGCCAGAAATTACGACGGTGGATACAACAAAAGTTGGAAATGACTTAACGACTCAAACTGAACCCTGGAGAAAGGACATTCAAATTACATCATCTGCTGAAATCGTTACGGCGAAGCTCACACAAACAACTCAAGCACACCAGCCTATGGTCACGGAAAAGCCACCAGATTCAGGTAAGCCCCCCGTTGATCCGAATCCTCAACGACCTAAAGATCCTGACCCAGAGGGAATGACTCTGGCAACTGCAATTTCAATGGGTCTAATTTTGATTTTCCTTCTAATTCTTCTCTGCATTCTTGCTGTATCCTTAATTGCTGGCTGGATACACTGCAGAGGAAGAGAAAGCAGACAACCGAAAGTTAGTCTTATTCGAGTTGAGCGTGGACTAGCAACAGAGTTTGCAGATAGCTGGAGTAAAGGGATGTCTGCACAAGCCTGGATGACGACTCAATCTGGGGCCACTGCAATCAATCCAATTCCACCCACTTCTTCACCTCAGTTAACCATACAATCTCCTGCTCCACCTCATCCACAGAACTTTCACTGTGGATGTAAGCGAAGGGGCCTCTTTAAAAGACCCAGTCAGTTGTGTTTGGTACATGGAGACCCTTCGGCAAGACATCCAGCCAGTGCTGTACGTGCAGTGAAGATTATATCACTGTCCGGCAATTCTGATGAGGAGGGAGAGAATGATGCTGTTCTACTCACCGAATTGGGTCGTCGAAGGGCCAGTGGGGCTTCGGATGCGCCTGGAGTGAACGAAGAAGTAGAAGAGGGAGAAGAGGGGGATTCTAGAGACATTGGCAAAGGACGTGGTGAATGGCTCTTTATTGATGAGGCATGATGATATCCTGCTTCTTTCCCATCTTGGCGCATGTCTTTGCTAAGCATATCACCTCAGTTTCTTTTACCCAACCTATCTCTAACCCACACTCATTTCTTTCCTCTCCACCAACCACCCCACCACAGACCCAACATCACCTCCAATCTCATCTTCCTCTTCAGTCACCCACATTGATGGTCCCTTTATCAATACGAGAAACTTATTGAGAAACATATTCTTTTCTACATTATACTGATCAGTTGTGGTATTAGAATTGAATTTCCCTGATAACATCAATCCATTCCATTTCAAAGTGATCTCCTATTATCTACTTCGTTAAATGATGAGCTTGGATTCACACATGCCTATAGCCCTGTCTTGCCATATTACAGTATCACTACATTCACTAAGTTGTCAAACGGTTTTTGAATGTGGCACAAATTACACAAATATGTGTGAAGTGTCAAGTTCCTAGGGCACGTTTGGTGGAGTACTAGACGCATAGCTGAAACAGGTTTCAAATACAAATCGGAATATTTTTTCAATTTTCTTAGTTTATATCAACTTGATGTCTTGATAGGAGTTGCAACTTGTCACACCTTTTAGCTCTCCGCCACATCAAATAGGCTTTATCGATAACCTGAAATTGTACTTAAACATTATTACTGCTTCTAGAAGTCTACCAAGTTCACTGCTGCGTTTCTCAAAATAACTATTCATATGTTTTTGAACTATTGAGAGCTGGCGTTCACGCAGTTACTAAAGATCAATTCCCCTTGACGTCAATAGCAAATGCTGCAAATTTCTATTTCCTACATTTACATGTCTTATCAAAAAAAAGAAGTTTTTTGAACTTACTCACAATAAACTCTTGACATTGTGTCTAAGAAATAACTGAAATACTCCTACTTAAGGAAATACAACACCAAATCATTAAACAATGAAAAGTAAGACTTGTGGGTACTGCTTTAATCCACTTTATTTCATAGAGAAAGGGTAATCATATGTTAATACAAGATGACAGCAATAGATTCAAAGAACTGGATAACTGGCTTGAGACGCAATTCCACACATATTGTGATAGTCTCTTGCCATCCAGATGTAGCCCTCATTGCCCCAGTCTGTACCCCAACTGTTCTTCACTATCCAGTACTTCCNTCCTGTCTTATCCTGATCGTAACCAACCACCAGAACTCCATGATCAATTGAATTTGGCGAACAATGGTCATCCTTGTAAATTCCACTTCTAAAACCATTGGAAGTGGAAAAGGGGTTTTTAAATTAATTGATGAGTATTTTGAGGCGAATTTATGAATCTTACTTGTAGAATTGGAAGCTCATAGAACTGGCATCGATACCAACTGAAATAGGACCAATCTGACCAACACTCAGTCTCAACTGACTCTCATCTCCCTTCTTCACTCTCACGAACTTTTTAACCAGAGTGATAGATGCCGACTTGTTGAATTTGCAGGAACCATCCTGAAAATTTCACCAATATTGATTAGTTTCTTAAGCCTTGAAGGAATGAGAAGTTGGAAGTAAACATCACAGAACCAACATGTGCAGTATATGGGTAGTCCTTTTCACTTTCTGCTCCGTTTCTCATCCAATATTGGAAAGCCTGATCCATTAGACCTCCATTGCAACCCTCGTTGCCTTGACTCCTACTGCAGTCAACCAATTGTTGCTCCGAAAAGCTGACCAAATTGCCTTTTTTCTTCTTGTATTGACCCTCCAGAGAACCAGTTGCTGAAAAGGCCCAGCATGAACCACATTGTCCCTAGGAAAACGAAAACACTTCCCAATCTCACACTCATTCATATTACTAACACAGATTTCCAGTCTCAGTACTCACCTGGTCCTTAATATCCGTCACCAAACCCTTCTTTCGCCAATCGATGTAATTCGGAACAGGTGCAAATGGTGACTCGTGCAGTAATTGGACATCCCCCAAGTCCTTCTCAATTGAAGTTTCTTGCACACTGAGGTAGGTGTCAGCAAACTCTTTCAAGGTGAGATCGGCGAAGCTATTTAAGCCAACGTAGTAGCTTACTTCTCCATTGTAATAGCGTCTATTGTGCCAGCGGATAAATTGGAGATTATTATAAAATATTCGCATTCGTAACTTCTCTTCCCTCTGTGAAGAGTACGACCTCTTGTACACCTGTTTCCAGGAATTCCAAATGCCTTGGTAGAATGGCCTGATGGCCTCTGCTGATAGAACAAGCAGAACAGAGAGAAGAAGAGTCGACGTGATAAGTCGCATTGTCCCGATGAATGGTAGATGTCTGGCGAAGTTAATTTATACCCAGTAGCACCTCCACTTAAGATGCAAACGTGGACGAGAAACGAATCACAATCCATCTCAGACTATCACCTTGCGAAGTTTATTGTAAACGATATGTCGATCGCTCACACTACGTGGTTAATCGTAGGTAACGTAATGTAGTAGATTCTAACATCGCATGCTATTGTTTGACTTATTCGCCATTCATAGATATTGCTATTTATGGTAAACAAACGGAAGTAACTATCACTAAAGCTGTTTGGATGGAGGTGACTTAGGTTTAGAATATTACTTTACCAAATTTTGCAGTTACAATATCATGAGTGAATTCGACAATATGGTGTAAGTTATTAGTCAACTATTTCCCTATTTGAACTGATGTAATCCAACGGCGAAAGCCGTGAAAGCTATTTCGTCATTAAAGACAGCATAGAATAGGTTGGTAGAAGTATGTGAATGAATTATGAAAAGAAGGTGCGGGCTGTTTGTAACTATGGCAACAAATAGATACCATAGAAATATCAAGGCAATTGACTCAACATTAATGAATTCCACTTAAAGTGGAAGTAAATATCCGAATTCCATGTGGTTGAGATTGAAGTCAACTTGAGGTACATATTAAATCAGGTAAATTCCGATTCTGGATAACGGATTGTAGTGTCATATTTTTATTTATATCAAATGGGAAACTTTATGATAGTTATCATTAGACCTTTAGTTGACTTCGGGCTTTGCAAAGGGGGGAATATCAAAAGCACAAAAGTCGTGGGGGGGGGGGGGGGGAAAACAGAGGAGTGATTGGCAGATGTAAGAGAGGCAGACGCAAAGGAAGAGAAAATGTTTGATGAGTACTGCACAGTTGTCAGATATGACATACATTGGGGTCATGGCAGTTTAAAGTAAGAAGTTGACCGTCGGTTTATAGACATTTTGCCGTATGAGTATACGTTGTCCATGGTGCACCACGTGGAGGTAAGTCTATCGCGCACTACTTTTTTCATGTATAAGTTACTCCATGTTGTCCTTTTGTCTCACTCACCCCCTCTGATTAATGCAATTTAAGGTTTAAAATAAATCAGGGTCAACCATTGATGAATATTTAATTTAGTAATCCATTACGATAATGAATGCAATTTCCACAAGATAATGTAGATGGCGAAAACTAAGATGACTCGAAAGTAACCAGAGTTTATTCGAAAATTCATGTGGTCTCCATGGTCTTCATGAGATGCAGTTGCTAGAGTTCGATAAATTCCATTAACTGATGCCTTTAAGTCACCTAATAACACCTGATCAGAATTGAGAAATAGAGAGGAGGTAAATATCGGTAATTTTTTATGAGTAAGCCATATAGCCTGTTTGAGTAAACTGGCCAATTTCTATGCTTGTATTGTTGAAGGTGTCAAAAGTTTTTGTGTTCTCTCCTATCAGTGCAACTTTTATTTGCTTAAAAATAATATTGTTCAAATTGACTTTTGCTGACTTTGGAGTAATCAGGAATTAACAAAGCCACGGATTATTCCATATAAACTTTGGAAAATGTCACCAACTGCACGAATGTCAAGCTACTCATTTGACAATCCTTTGTTATTTTCGAGGGTTTGTCCAACTAGGCAGACCATTCATTCAACGCCCATTCACTTCCAACAAGTGCTCTAACCAACCAGAACCCGAATGTGCCTGCTGTTGAGATGCACTGGCTCAAATTAACAAAGTCTTTAAGTACGGTCGTAGATGCAGAGATTTCTCAACCGACCATGGATCAATGTAACGTCGTTGCTTGCATTTAATGACATAAAAATTTTGCTGGTTAGTAACGAATGTTCTTCCTCCTCTCCCTTAGAGGTGACGTAACATTTAACAGGACTGATGCGCTAACTGCGCTCGATGTGGTTTAGACATTAGACGGCATTCAAAACTTGATGATCGAAAACGACGCCACTAAACTGATCAAGGTGCGCGTGCTTAGATCTAAACAGGCTCCGATCAACTGGTTTAAACGCCGACATTACGACATGGTTATCTTAAGAATAAACGCTTGCAAATAAATCTCAATTTGTTTATCAATAAATTAGGATGTCTATTGCAGTCACTATGTCTGCAAGTAAGAATTGAGGTGCATTTCAACAGTATATGGAATATTGTGTTCAAGATTTAACATTCTACTCATGTATATTTAAGTAGTATTTTAAACATCTATTGACATTAGAGTTAGATTATTATGATAAGTCATTTATTGCCAATGTTCTGTGTTATTCACACAGTCTTCAAGCCGGTTGAAAACACAATTATGTTTTAACGTTCTCATGGAATCTAACTGCAATAGACACCTTAGGGATTGAGGACCATTTTAATTCAGTCGCAAGAGGTGTGTCGATAACTGAAGCTAATTAAGACAGATAACTCTACAGAGAAACAAGCATGGCTTGACATTGGTCACGTTTTACCTTAACATAAAATGTTAAATGTTCGCCGTAAATTTGATTGATCAGATCAAAGACGATAGATTAATTATCAGCCAAGCGTGTAAAACAGACGTTACGAAACTCAAAGCAGTTCATTTTCTTATTAAGACCTTAAGTTATTTACCAATTTTCTCCACCAATCAATTATTCACATTTTACTCTACTTCCCGCTTGTTTTTTATAAACTACCGACCAGTCAGTTTGTGAAGTCCGAGGTCATGGGTTTGATGTCCATGACAGAATGTCGATGAATAGAACGGTCACAT